TGAAATCTATCAAGAGCTAGAAACTATAAGCCAACAAGATTACTTCATCCTAATCATCTCACTATAGATTTTAACTTAATAATATGTAGAGATAAATAATCAAATCGTATATGAGTATTACTTGTATTGGTTGGTGAGAGGTAACTTGGATAACACTCCAGGTTTAAGTGGTGGGTCATAATAGTCCACCGTCCCATCATCCTCCACAGGAAGCTCGAGGTTTCGTTTCTTACGAGATGCAATAATGACTCGAACAATACCAGAGAATACACTCCCTTCCGGTTTGACATACACGTAAAACCGCGTACCAACAAAGAACAAAACGATCGAGCAAGCCATTAAACCGGTCGGAATGCTAAACCCAACGGTCCAGCTGATGTTGTCCTGTATGTACACAATGACGGTATTCGAAACGATGAGAACGATAGAGAAAGTTAAGTAGTACCAGTTGAAGTAACTAGCCATTCCTTTAAGCCCTTTCTCTGTTCGTTGGTCGAACTGATCAACACCGAAAGGGATGCTACAAGGTTTTATTCCGCCGCTGCCGATTGAGAGAAAGGTGAGACCGAGGAACAATACTCCGAGCTGGAGTTTGTTTGGACGGTCGCAACTATCTGGACGGTCGATGTTGCATTCTGCTGGGTGGAGTTGATGCAGCCAGGCTGTGAGTGTCACCGTCATTAGTCCCTGTTTGGATATTTATAAATTTCATTTTGCTTCCTTGTGTATTCAAAATGCATTGAATCAGAATATGAATTCAGTACACTTTATACTATTTGAGAAAAACATTAGAATTATTTTTTACAGTTCCATTGTGTTACGGAAGTTCAGTAATAGGAACTGATGTGTAAAGCCATTAAAAAGGTAACGTCTAAAGTAGAAAGATGAAGTAAAGTACTACATGGCATATAGTGCATGTACTTTTTGTCTAGTGTCAAGCTTAGTGATATTTGATGGACCGTCTGATTTTTTCTGAAATTATGAATAAAAATTATAGAACATACATGCAGTTTGTGAAAAGGTTCACATGCAATCTTATCATATAATGCAAAGTATAATTTGGGAAATCTCAAAACATAATATAAACTAATCTACGAAATATATAGCCGATTTGTGCATTTTAAGTGACCAAAAGGAACAAAACTATTCCTAAATTAACCAAAGCAACTAGACTTGTTATTGTACAAAAAAAAAAAAAAAGAATAGATGATAAGAGGGAGGAAATGTACGAGAAGGGAGAAGAATGAGGCGGAAGCGATGGTCTTGAAGCGGCCAACGTAGGCGTCAGAGATTATGGCACCGAGGAGTGGAGCCAAATTGGTCAGACCTAACCATAAGTTGTAAACGTTGGAAGCGTCCACTAGCTTCATGTGGAACACTTTGATTAAATACGCCATGAAATTCGCCGATAGCCCCAACGTTCCCATCCTTTCCAGCGTCTCATTTCCTTTATATTATCACCAGATAAAAAAACATGTAGTCCAACATATTTTATGAACCAGTAGTCTCAATTATTTAAGTTGGAGTGACCGTTAAGTACAGTTAATGGATATAACTCATGATCCGTCTGTAAAAGCTTGTGTATTTCATGCGTCTTATGATCACGAGGTTTACGTGAAAATAACATGAAACGGTCTCCCATATATATTTATGTATTTATTTAAATTATGGTTTATTTCTCGGGTACTAGTTTCTTTGATTTTTGTATTGCATACTCGTAAAAGTAGTTTGTTCATGATATTAGCATGGTGCACAAAATATTAAGAAGAAAAAGTGATGACAAATTATATATAGGTATTTTTCATGAGATTAAAAACCAGAGGATTTTGGTAAAAATTATTGTCCTTGTTATGTGTTTGACTGTTTGTTTATTTCTTACAAAAAGTAATAATACTTTCATATATACCACCAATCCAAAAAAAGTCATCATATTGAGTTAGTCTCTCTAAAGCAAAGAAAGATTTTGGTTGAAGACAAAAATTCTGTACAACACTACCAATTGAAAGGGGATCAAAGCTGCATGCTTAAGCGGTTCATAATTTATACTATGGATGACGAAGTTCGTATCCATTTACTTGTTTACCATGTTGAGATTAATACAAAGAAAAACCTTGAAAAGTAAATATTGGAAGAAACGAGAAAAGAACAAACCAAGGATGAACGAGATGGCTCTCCAGCCTCCACGTTTTCTCTCCGATGAGTTATTCGGATTCTTAGAATTCTCAACAACTTCCATCTCGGGTGATGACCACAATGATCTAAAGAAAGCCATGACCTCAGAAGACGAAGAAGACGTCTTTTTTACCTTATGACAGATCTCTAAAATTTATAGTAAACAGAATACATAGAATTTGATTTCGTTTTTTGGGTAGAATAGCATTAGAAGGAATGCATTCTGACTAAGGGATCAATAATTCGAAGATGAAATGAAGCTCTGAGGAGGATTTCTTATTTATAGGCAAACTTGCGAGAGAAAATATTTATTTTCATGCCCTTTTAAAAAAAGAGAGAAGAAAGTTATTCTCTTTCTTTCTAATGTTTTAAAAAAAAAATCTGACTGCCTATTTGAACAATGCATGATGGTGTGTGTAGTTTACAGTATAGAATTATTAGTTTACTCAAAATTTAAAACTTCTTTAGAATGGTTAGTTTTGGATAGTTATATTTAATACATTTCCAACTCTATTTATTTATTTGCATACTTATAAAGAATACTCCAAATCCCTTATATGTCTATTCTATTAAAATTTGAAATACAAAACAATATTTGTCTATTTCTAAGTGATATCTTACAAATTTTCATTCCATTTTAATTAATGAGAATTATTTCATTTTTTGTCCATAAAAAAATATTTTATTTATTATATTTTCTAAATAATCCAACATCATTTATTACAAAACAAACTTATTTCTTTTGAAGTGTTTTATTATATTTTATAGTTATTTTTCATTCTTTTTAACTATTTAATTATATTTATTATAATATTTCAATATTATTTATTTACATATTAACTATAATAATTCAACATGTTGGTGTGATTGTGGTATGGTTTTTTGGTCGCTGTACACAAATATTCATGATGAATAAACTGTTTACGTCGTGTTCACTACCTTTCCTTTCAAACACACAGGTAGAGGATTTCAAGAAGTTGACGCCTCATGACGGCACTGTGAATAGTAGGTCTCAAGAAGCAAAATTCGTTTCAGTAACGCGATTCCCCATCCTAGAGCAACTTCTATGAAAGAAAAAAAGATGAAGGAAAACACTCACTACAAGAAAAAGTCTCTCATACCGACACTCAATTTTATCAGAACATTGTCGGAAGACCTCATCTCCGAGAGTTTTCCGAGAAATGCCAATATGTCGGGGTTTGACGGTCGGAAATAACAAGAAGCCGGTATGTTGTCGGTAATTACCGAGAAAACATGAATCTCGGAAAGTTTGTCGATAATGGTTGTCGGTACGNTCACTACAAGAAAAAGTCTCTCATACCGACACTCAATTTTATCAGAACATTGTCGGAAGACCTCATCTCCGAGAGTTTTCCGAGAAATGCCAATATGTCGGGGTTTGACGGTCGGAAATAACAAGAAGCCGGTATGTTGTCGGTAATTACCGAGAAAACATGAATCTCGGAAAGTTTGTCGATAATGGTTGTCGGTACGTACCGAGGCTGTTCCGACGACGTATAAAAAAATTATTAAAAAAAAATAAATGAAAAATAACAAAATATATCAATAAATAGAAAATAATATTGAAATCATTAAATATTTATTACAAAAATGTGAAATTAATTAAAATATAATAAACTAATTTATTTCGGCAAAAGATCTACGGTTGATCTGGTGGTGGAAGAAACGGTGACGACATGGAAGAAACGGTGACGGTGGTGGTCCTTATAAACAGCGAGGATGGTGGCCGCGGAAAAACGGCGACAGCATGGAAGAAACCGTGACGGCGGTGGTAGTGGACAAAACGGCGAGGATGGTGGCCGTTGAAGAAACGGGGATGATGGTGGCTGTGGAATGAACGGCAGCGTTAATTAACGTGGAGGTCCTGGAGGATTGTCGTGTAGGCAAAAATAATCTTGTAAAAGAGTTGAGTTATCTTTTCTAGTAAAAAGGAACAGATCTGAAAAAAGTAGAACAGATCTAGTTAAAGAGACAGTGGGAAGAAGGGAAAAAAAAAAGAAGCTAGAGAGAAGATAAGAAAAATTAAAGAATGAGTCGAAGAGAAGAAAGAAATTAACGAAGAAAATTGATGGAGAGAAGTAAAAGATAAACAATGAAAATGAATGGCTATAAATATTTCTCAGTCTTCTTTTAATAACTGAATGATGGTAAAATTAATAAAAATTGATAAAGTTAATAAAAATCAATATAATAACTGGTTCCGATGAAATAGCGTCTACTTTTACGACGTGTTACCGAGAAAGCAATACCATTGTCCTTTCCGAGAAACTACCGAGAATACGTATCGATGAATTTCCGATGAAACTTTTATATCGGAACTTTCCGACTAGTTTCCAACAAATTATGTAGGTTCTCGGTAGATTATCAGAATTTCATCACAAATTTTCCGTTAACAAAGATTCTCGGAAACTTTTGTCGGAGGATAAGCACTTTTCTTGTAGTGACTGAACAACTGTCCATCAGCTAGTCCAGTAACAGTTTTCTTGCAAAAACCGGTGATATATCGGAATTTTACCTGAGAACAAGACAAGTGACTGGCGCATGCCACAAACTACCACCTCCACACTTTAGCTAGAATGTTAAGTGATATGTTATCACCATAACCAAATTAGCCATTGCGGCATGTCAAAACATCAACCGGGAACTGCACATAAGACAGAACGATTAGTTTGTAGTTATTAAAGCATGATTTAGACTGGTATAAGACTGGCTTTTATGATTAGTTAACGTAAGGAATCTGCTAATATGACTTTCGACCCGGATACCATTATACCAAGATTTATAGATTCCAAGTTTGAATCTTCCACCAATTTTGAGTCCTTTCTTATTATAATCAACAAATAAACAATACTATGTATCATTTGATAGATTACATTCTTAAATGGAACACAGATATTTGGTAGAGTTTCTAGATAGAAAAAGAACCAAACCTTAAAGACTTCGCTAAAATTCGTACATATATATATCATACACATCTTGCAAGAAAAGAATCACAAAAGAAAAAAAAAAGTTGCTATCATTTTATCCTGTTAAAGAATATCGTCGTAGGCTACAATATCTCGATCCATAACCTCCCTTCTCTTCGCCGGAGATGAAACACTTCCGTCACCGTCAGTATCATTACTTCTCGGATTAACAATAGTCGACGCTAACCTATTCCTTCTCCCATGTTTCCTTAACGACATCTCCCCTCGGAGAAGCTTCGACGACAATGACAACGGCGACGTTTTATCCTTCACACCTTCCTTCCACGTCACCAACGGATCCCTCCCCCAAGCCACCTCTAACTGCCAAAAAAAAAAACCTCAATAAAACCCTAATTCACAACGAGATTCAGGCAGTTAAAAGGTTAGTACCTTTTTGGAATCGATGGAGATTCCGAAAGAAGGCTCGTGACTACCGGCGATGGCGGCTTCCGCCGACTCGGCGGTGCGATAAGAGACGGATCCGATTCCGTCTTCGTCGATTCGGATCCTGGAGATTGATCCGTAGATCTCGAATCGAGATTTTAGCTCCAGGACTGAGCAGTTGGATGGAAGTCCGGTGACGAGGAGAGCCGGTGGAGGAGGAGGTTTTGAGGTCGGTTTGTCGATGATCTCGTCGGTTTCTAATGACGGAGGAGGAGCCCAAGGTCGCCGGCGTTTCGAAATTCGCGACGGTGTGTGGCGGTTTGTGTAGGGTTTTTCTCTCTTGCGGCTCATCTTTCGCTTTACTCGATTGGTCCTTCGAATTTTGTTTCTTTTAAGAGTGATAAATATATTGGGCTTTGTATTAATGGGCTTAAACATCGGCTCAAGGCCCTATATAGCACTACCTTTACTTTTTTATCTGAATTCTTGCTTTAGATTTTAGCTTCTAGTAGTGGTAAAATGTTCTTGCAATAGAGTGGTTGAAGAAACAGCTTATTTTCACCATGTGTGGTAAGATGAGTTTGTTTTCGTGGTGGTTAAGTGATCGGATGATTAGATAAGGTAATTTAGACTTCAAATGAGTGAACCTAAGTGATACTATGTCTTTAGATCACAGGTGGTTAAAACCTCTAGTGAGGTGTTGTGGTTACAATTTGTACGTTTCTACACCTTAGTTAATGAAGAAAAAAAAAGTACCTTTAGTTTTATCTTATCTGAAGTGTTCACTGTCACCATGTGTGAGAGTTTGAGTCAGACAAGATAGATCGCTGGACCCTACATCTCCAATCATAATAGACTGGGACGGGGAGTCAAGTGGGTTTTATTACATTTATCGGCCATTAAATTTTATTTAGACGATACGTTCACATACAGTGAAACCTCTATAAATTAATAATGTTGGGATTACACCAAAATTTTATTTTTTTATTAATTTAGAGAGATATTAATTTATAGATATACTAATTGAACCAAAAACTCAATTTGGGACTATAAAATTATATTAATTTATAGAGATATTTAGTGTATATTAATTTATCGAGTATTAATTTATAGAGGTTCTACTGTACATAGGCTTTTCATTTTAGTTTTGTAATTATTGAAAGATTAATATGAAAGTGAAACCAGGTTTGAAACAATTGTTTTAGAAAAACAATATGAAATTGCTTTTCATTTTAGTTTTGTATACTCATCATATTGCACACTGGTCTTGATTTTTCATCTTTGTGGGGATGTTTCATAAGAAATTAATTATTACGTCCAGTGGATAGAACAAAACTTGTATAGTCTATTAGTGTTTAACTCAAGTTCATGTCGATGAATATGCGTATATCTGAAATGTAAACCAGGGAAACAAAATGGGCTTTCTTAAATTCATCATAGCTAGTTGTTTACCAAATTCTTTAATTGATGAAGTAATATTTAGGTAGTTAAGGATACAGATCCACTGAATACAACAAGTAATGATATAGTGATTTTATCTAAAAGAAACGTAGGATCAACAAATTAACAACATAGCGTCAGGTTTCGTGCAACTCTAAATTCTAAGTTGCAATAGCATCTTTTTTTGTCAACTTTCTCCTCCTGTAAGTTATAGTATGTGAATTCACTTATTATAGGTGGAGACAAGTGTTTAAAGAATGACTTTAATTTTCATGGTAGTAAATTTACAATAATGTCACAGAACTTTTTTTTTTATTATATCACAAAATGATTCACACAAAGTCAGAGAAAAATATCTCCGTTTTATATAAACTACAAATTTTATCTAGAAAAAGTAAATTCTTTTTTTTATACTATAGAATGTCTCTTTGTATTTGTGATATATAAATTAATTTTTTTTTACGAACCTAACTATTTAAGATTTAAAAATCATTTACCAATAAGAGTAACGCTCAACACATGGCTACATTGCAAGGTCACACTATCAGGAAATTGAGTAACATGGAAAGGAATCACTAGCTCTTCACACTGATGACACGTTTTAGATTTATATCCTTTATTGCTGTGAAGAGATTTGTACCATTTGATCAATTTGGATTCCCCTTTTCTGTAACCCATCCAGTGGAAGGATTTGATTCGCCACTTATCTATGGTTCCAAACCTTTTTATATTTGGTTTGCATCCTTCTATAACAAAAATCAAACATAAAGCTAAACTTCCTTTAAAATAAACTAGATTCACAAATATGCTACTCGTCTAGATTCAAATAACAGACTGGAAAAACATGAAACATTAAAGTAGTTGTATCTAACTCAGTACCGGCCCTGGACAGAAGCAGCATGCGCTTCCAACCCGTTTTTAAATATCAAAAATATCAGCCGTGTTTTTCTTAAAAGTTTCAGCAGTGTACTTGGTAAAATCTTATATTTTGCTAACATAAGTTGATAGGTTCGCTAGTTTGTGGTAGTATTAGTTTATGTGTTTTGATTATTAATTAATCAGTCCATAATTAAAATTTGCTTGTAGCCCAAAGTTTCTGCGGATCAGCATTTGATCTAACTACACAAAAAGTCACCAACGTACATAAACTATTTGTATCTAAATTTATTAACAAGTTGCATCGTATATTCTTTCACTTATTTATCAACTATGTAAACGTCAGTAAGTCAAATAATTTGCAAATATAATTACTATATTTAAAATATTAATATTTGAGTAAAAACAAATAATTATCTATATAGATGTACTTAATTTTGAAACTACCAAAAAAAATTAAAAAATGATTATTTTATATCTTGGTTGGAAGTATTATCTAAGTAGTTTATCAATTTATTAATCAACTACTGTATAAATTGTACAGATATTACCATAGTCACCACGCCACGTTGTGATCTTTTTCTTTTCCAGAACAATCTGTAGCCTTTGAAGAAAATACAGTAGGATTGATTTAGATGTTAAAGAATCTACTATTCATTAATAGCTAACATTCAAAGTATAATAAACGACCTTATTCCAAGTCAACATGCAAACATACTTAATTCTGGCACCAGATGGCTTCCCGTCATCAAATCTTGGATCACCATCTTAATTAGGCCCCGATATCCAGCTAAGGAAATGAAAAGGGAGCAATATATATTTTTTACCAACATATATAATTTTCTAAAAGAGTGTAAAAATTTGCAATATAAAAAGGCCTATAGTCCTTCATTCCTTCTTACCCCTACAAGTATACAGAAGCTAAAAAAAAGCAGACTGTATTATATCTTTCACCTCTTCTCTCTAAATTCCGAGTATACCATCTCACTTTTATTTATATCAAAGATCTTTGTTTCTCTTCTGCAAAGTATGGGAGAAATCGAGAAAATGGTAAGTTCTTCTAGCACATAATACTCCCTCCCTCTCTCTAAATTGTCTTTGTAATGTTCAGTTGATGAAAATTTATATCATTGCATTTCTGTGTGGTTATACATTTTTAAATACAGGAAGTTGAATTGCAAGGAGAAGACTCCAAATGGGAAGGCTACGCTGATTGGAGGAATAGAGCCGCCGTGAAAGGTCGTCATGGCGGCATGCTCGCCGCCTCCTTCGTCTTGGGTTAGTGTCTCAACATTACAAGTTTACCCCTTTCGTTTTCCATAACTTTTTAATAAATATCTGGTCTCAATAATCGATCTTGTGGGAATCACGTGACTAACGATCTGTGTTTGCTTTTTGCTTTATTTCTCCTTTGTGCGTGTGTTGTGAAGCCGTGGAAGTATTGGAGAATCTAGCGTTTTTAGCTAACGCAAGCAACTTGGTCACATATCTGACGGAGTTCATGCACTTTTCGCTGTCGAGAGCAGCGAGTGAAGTGAGCGCTTTCATGGGGACTGCCTTCCTCCTTGCTCTCCTCGGTGGATTTTTCTCCGACGCATTCTTCTCTACTTTCATTGTCTTCATCATCTCCGCCTTCATCCAGTTACTGGTACTAAAACTCCATAACTAATTCATTTTCTTCATCACTAGACGTTAGAATTAGCCACCCACCCAATGCATGCTCTATATAACACTTTCACAATATCTCCATGCATGTAGTGTAATGTGCGTGTCAACTTTTAAAAAGATTCATTTCAAAATGGCTTAAGTTGACTGAAAAAAGTTCACTACCTTTGTTGGAGATAAAACTGACGGACCAAGCGTGCATGCTTTGCGATAAGATGTTTTACGGTATCGTATCTATCCGTATAGTTTGATTTATGGTCCCCACTATCCATGTTGTGGAACCATATCTCTAGGTGGGGTCGGATTCGTACTTGTGTGTGCATGTCAAACTGTCGTTGTTTTGTCTGCTTTATGATCCACTTTACAATTGAAATTTGAGAGGGATATTTATGACATTCACACTTTATAGTCTCTGATTCTCTGGCATGAGCTGTTGAGTTTGCCACATTTTACGAAAGTCAAAACATACAAACAAGTGTAGTGATGTTAGCGTAACTGATTTTTATGTAGTCTAGAGTTTATGTAATAAATTGTCTTTTTCTGTACTTTTAAATTTACTTTTTTCAATCGCACTAAAAATGATCACATTCACATCCGTATAATATTTTAATGGGACTGATTGGGATGGATATACGTACACGTACAGGGCCTAATCCTGCTCACAATCCAAGCCCATCGCCCGTCCTTAATGCCACCGCCGTGCAAGAGCTCCCCTGCGTCACCATGCGAACCCGTTCATGGTTCGAAGGCGGCGCTTCTGTTTGTGGGACTGTATCTAGCGGCTCTAGGAATCGGAGGGATAAAAGGGTCGTTGCCTTCACACGGAGCAGAGCAATTTGATGAGAGCGACACCAAAGGTCGAAAACAACGGTCCACATTTTTCAACTACTTTGTATTCTGTCTCTCATGTGGAGCACTCGTGGCCGTGACGTTCGTTGTGTGGCTCGAGGAAAATGTAGGCTGGGAATGGGGATTTGGTGTCTCCACTATCTCCATCTTTCTCTCCATTCTTGTCTTTCTCTCCGGTTCCAGGTTTTATAGGAACAGGATCCCTTGTGGAAGTCCTCTCACCACAATCTTGAAGGTAATGCTTAAAAGATACTCACAATATTTTTAAATATAGGATGTTTTAGCCAAAACCACAAAGATTAAAAATTATAAAAAACGTAAATTTTAATTCAATCAATTATGAATTAATTGTAAAATGTAACTGGTTAAATATATCTAAAATGAAATATTTTAAAAAAACTGCTTAAAACATCTTATATTATAAACGGAGAGAGTATATATGTTTTTGATGCTTCAATGAAATCACTTTTGGGTCCTAACATCGCTACGTACAGGTTCTTCTTGCAGCTTCTATTATGGGTTGCTCGAGTAAATCTTCGAGTAATGCTGTTGTGAACTTCTCTATGACCCCATCTAATCACCTGGTAGGAGAAAATCAATCAGAAGGAGAGAAGAGGGATTCTCAGTCACTAACCAATAGCTTGAGATGTCTAAACCGAGCGGTAGAGGGCAAAATGGTTCATAGATTGCTAGAATGCACGGTCCAACAAGTTGAAGACGTCAAGGTTGTGCTCAAAATGCTACCTATATTCAGCTGCACTATAATGCTCAATTGCTGCTTAGCTCAGCTCTCTACTTTCTCTGTCCGCCAAGCTGCATCGATGGACAGAAAGATTGGAAACCTAGTGGTTCCAGCAGCTTCTTTACCGGTTTTTCCGGTCGTTTTCATGTTGATTCTTGCTCCAGTCTATGACCATCTGATTATCCCATTTGCTAGAAGATTAACAAAATCAGAAATGGGTATAAGTCATTTGCAAAGAATCGGTGTAGGCTTAGTCCTTTCGATATTAGCAATGGCGGTGGCCGCTCTAGTCGAGTTAAAAAGGAAGAGAGTAGCTTCAGAAGCTGGATTGCTTGACTCAAAACAAGCCTTACCAATCAGTTTCCTATGGATCGCGCTACAATATCTGTTTCTAGGATCAGCTGATCTATTCACACTAGCCGGGTTGCTAGAGTTTTTCTTCACAGAAGCACCTTCTTCTATGAGATCATTGGCCACATCGCTCTCATGGGCTTCTTTGGCGATGGGGTATTATCTAAACTCGGCGATGGTGGTGATTGTGAACTGGATGACTCAGAGTGGAGGAAGAACTCCTTGGCTCGGTGAAAAACTTGGCATTAACCGTTACAGACTAGACTTGTTCTATTGGCTATTGTGTATTCTGAGTGTTGTTAACTTCTTACACTATCTCTTCTGGGCGATGCGTTACAAGTACATATCAACTGGTGCCAGAAACTGATTTGATATATACACAATGCACTCATTAATCTTATAATATTGTTTTGAGTTGTTATGTTTTTTAAGAGGGGCAAGATTTTGGAATCACCCACTATATATAGTGTAACTTGGTTTAGTAACAACTTATTATTGAAGTAAAATAGCAAATATTAAAAAATCCTTTGATTCCGCCCTGTACAATTTTGTCGGTATCTATTTTAATCGTTACCTTGAGTCACATAGAAATCCTAATTTCGTGGGCTATACTCAAAGTATTTTAGGCAGACATGTAAAACTTGAGATGGAGGAAGTAAGCGAAATATTGAAGAGCAATAAGGTTGAAGATATTACTTGGTTGGGTTCTCTCTCAGAATCTAAACTGATTGTACATGGTGAGCCCTCGAGTTGAAGATACTGTAGACATTAAGAAGATTGTAACTCAGATTTGCAACACATTCAGAACCATGCCAAATGTGTCCAAAGAAGAAAAGTAGACCAAACGAAGGAAGGAAGTTATGTAAAGGGCTTGTAGGGAATCTTAACACTCTGCTTAGTGAAAGTTGCAATCTGTTTTGATCTAACGTTAATTATTTTAATGTGAAAGAGGAAACCAGGATGTTCCATACACGAGCGGATGCATTTAGAAACAATGCTCTTGTTTTCCTTTGTCGATACTAATATAAAATTGGCATTAGAACAAAGACTCAGGCGCTGAATATCTCTTACATGTTATATCTCATAATTGTTTCTTGTATAGATGTTACAAGGGTAGGCATTATACTGCTTACAGTAGTGAATAATTTCTATCTAGACTAGCAAAATGAAAGTTACATATATATCCTCAAATTAAAAATCTAAAATGTTCATTCCTATCATTTGTTTCTCTCACAGCTTGCTATAGTTTATATTAGCACTGTTAATTAATCCTTGTTATATGTTATACTGTAATAGTGACTCCAACGGCAAACTCTTTGGATTTTTTTTTTTTTTTTTGAAACACATTTGATCAGATAGAAAGCACAAACACACTGGAAACTTAATATTTTTATGAATGTGAAAAAACTTAAAATTACATTAACCATGAAATATAGTATTAGTAAGTAAGCGTCACTGCGTCATAGTTCTTGCATTACAAACCCATATGCCTATTATTGGTTTTTATTTAAGGCAGGATTGGACCAAACTGATTCTAGACATCTGAGGTGAAACGGGCGCTTTCCAATATATTTTCTGCGTTACCCAAATCAAATCCATCGCGTCTATGGAACTCTTTAATCTGCAATTACGGGTATATACCTAGATTGTGAATACAATGCACCAACTAACACATAAATGATGAACAATGTCGAGACTATATCCAAAGTCTTGATAGTAAAAATGTAGTACCTGGTCATGAGGCAGATCTTTGAACTCCGGAAGAACCAAACGTTGAGTGAACTCAATGTATGAACCCGGGATTGTTTCAGTGACCCCATCTGCAAATTCAACCGCAATCTTCTCCGAGATGGATGACACTTGTAATAGTAGACCATCGCGACTCACTGAAATACATATTTATTCACATCAATTCCAACTAGCAGATGGTTTTAGTCGAAGTTGATCGATCAGTATTTATATTTTTAAAGTCGACAAAGAATAAATTTTGAAAGAACGTATTGTCAAACTCTTTCAGATATGAACACTAGAACCACTCTAATGAAAAGCCAGAAATCTCATTATCACAAGGGGAACAAACCTTTAAGAATTCCTCCGTCGTTGTTTAGTTCGAATCCTTTCTCTTCTAGATACTCTTTGATGCATTTGATGTCACGGAATCGGTGTTTGAGTCGATGAACAGAAAATGCAAGATGGTTCATCATGTAGCCGTGGATAAGTACCCATGCCGCAAATTCACTCTCTCTGCACCGTTTCATAGTAGTTAGCTTTTCATCAATAAGTTATTTTGTTAAAATCACACTTCTTACAGTTTATTGTACACCTCTAGCACTTTCAAGCGTTTTTACTAGATAAGTAATATTTGTTTACCAACACTACTGTTTTATCTTTATCTTCTTCTTTTGTTCGTTAGACATCACTTCTCACATAATGTATAGGGATATGATTAGAGAGAGTGTTATATACTTGGCAAGTTGCTGGAAGTCGGTGAATGTTGGCTTCTCCCAAATTAAAGACCCCAAAGTACTTGAAAGAACCGCTTGTTTACCTCCTTTCGGTTTTAGATACTTCCTTATTATCTCCTAATGAAAAAAAAAAACCAAGAATATATATCAAGATTCGCAGCAATAACATTATGTCTGTGATCATTCATAATCATACCTGAGATTCAGGACATAGTTCATCCACAAGAAGCTCAGCTATAACCAGTCGTGGCAAAGGGCCATTGCCTAGACCATGACCATCATCGGGGACGTAAATATCCGGAGGAGAAAACGTAAGAACTCTTAGTTTCTTCGTTGGAAAATCAAGTCCACCTTCAGCTTTATATCCATAATCCATGAAGAAGCTCGATAAGGATTCAATTCCGTAACCCTCCACCTACGGATACCCAAATAATAATAACTCATTCTACCAAATCAGGTGTAAGATTTTCATTTTTTTTTTACATTTCATCCATTTCGCTATAAATGACGTGTCAGAATTTATTAAAAGATATCAATTTAATTTTTACCCATTTCGCTAAAAGAAAATTATGTCGGTGACGATTAATTTGAGACGAAATACAAGTTTTTTTGAAGTAAAATACTAAAATGTTTAAGAAACAAAATAAAAGTTCAGGAACCAGTGGCAACAATGAATTTTTTAGAACGTGGCAGGCAAAAATAATGTTTAAGACGAGTTTACCTTTCATCGAGTAATAACTTTAGCTAGCTCACGGATTTTATTTTAAATTGATTAAACAAATATTATAAATTAATTGAATGATTTAAATTAACTGATTATTATTTAGTGTTAAAAAATATTTTCGTTGCATAATATTTATTTTATGTGGTTTAATTAACATTACTATAAATGTTTTGTGTAATTTATCTTTATAATAATTTGATTCATATTATAATCAGTTTAATTTATTTTTGTAATTAGTGTTAAATATTTATCTCCAGATAATATGTATTTTGAACATTTTCATAACTATCTGTTACTGTATTATATTATTGTACATTGTATTTATTATACAACCCGGAAACATGTTTTTAAAAAAAAAATTATTGGACATATAATTTATCCAAGGAAGTTATATTTATATCACATAACCTAATAACCATGCAACATATTCTCTTAGAGCAACTGCATTGAGAGTTGTTAGGGGGGTTCACACAAATCCCAAAAAAAAATTAATATATTAATCTGTTGCTCATGAACCTGTGTCACATAAGTTCACTCCACTGAACCCGTATCAACACTATTCATGGGCCCCACTGACACGTGGCGGCCCGTGATTGACCCATTAATATTTTTTTTATTTTTTTATTTTTTTTAAACAACCGAAAAAGAAAAAAAAAATTAATTTTCTTTTTTGGTGAACCTCCCCCATCGGTTCATTGATGGGGGTGCCCTTAGTATTCTATTACAAAACTTTTTTCTTGGAACATTAAACCAAAAATTCTATTACTATACTTATACACTAAACTATATATTCAGCAAAATAACACCTTCATTGCTTGATTCATTGTACAGTTGTGAAAACATCGAATATCCACATATTTTCACCAGAGTTACAAACGTACATACCTTAAACGTCTGAAAAGTGAAGTGATCGTAGCAGATTTTCTCGTTGTCTACTGACTGAACAAGATCCCAAATTGTCTTCGCCGTTGGGTTCTTCCTCAGATACGTCTTCAGTATATTCTCAAACACATTCCGAAGAAATGTTTCACTTCCTCCCTGTTGCATGGTAGTTATAAATTATAACAACTTCGTAATACAATTCTATCCGTCTTTTTTCTAGAATGAAAAAATCAGAACGTTAGAATGAGAGGTGGAAGGAACAAATATTGACAAAGAACCTTGAATGACGAAGTGTGGGGAAAGTCCAAGGAACCCATATAGAAAGATCTTTAAGCTTTGTCTGAGAAACTGAGCCTTGCTTAGTGTTTCATTTGAACTTTACTGAAGTCTTGTACACTATTTATATTGCATTTCGTTTTAAAAAGAGACGAAGGGATCACTATTATTATTGTTATTTTTGTTTGTTTGTTCGGTTAACCTAACAAGTTGTCACTATTATTTATTTTATTTTTTTTCTTGACGATCCCACTATTATTGCCGAACACGTAATTTACGATATGGGCAGGTTGGGAGTTTTTTTGAATGATAGATTGGGAGTTGTGACAAGATAATATTACTTATTAAATAGAGATATTCTTCTTTGTACTTATTAAATGATTTAATGTGGCTTATTCCATAGCCACGCGGTCATGCCAAATCGATGTCATGACAAATCGATTAACAAAATCTTTCCCGGAAATGATGAAAGAAAATGGACAAAAGCAAAAGTAAAGCCAGTTTACAAAAAACAAATGGACAAAAGCATCCGTGGTCTGGATCGTAACTTGAAAGACCCAAGCCAAAGGCATACTACCTAGTAAAATGGCGATGCATCTTAATTCCTTTTTCTTTTGATGTTTTTCAACTAAATGGTTATATCAGTACAAAGGCTTTGGATCACACACAAGAGGCCCAAGCCCAAACAAGCTCCAACGTTGTAAACAGAAAGAGAGAGTCAGAACAAAACAGAGCAAAGCGAATGTACACCTTCATCAACCACACTCGTCCACCCTAACAGATTTGATTCCCTTTCCTCTTTATCTGATAACTAAGCATGACAGCTAGAGGATTAGGATAAGGTTAGGACGAGTCTCTAGATCCTTCTGAAAGCCCTATAAAAGTAAACATTGTATCATTGTAAATCTCAGTAAATGAAATAACGAAAGTATTATTCAACAAATTACTTTCTTGTTCAACAAGTCTTTAGGTTATGCATCATAGGTAAAACAAACAACACGTTTAAAACAAGCAACACGTTCCAGACCAAACAAACAACACGTTTAAAACAAGCAACACGTTCCAGACCAAACAAACAACACGTTTTTCTGTTATATGGTTATGCATCATAAGTATTATACAGACCAAACATGTTTTCTACAACACCTAAATCCATAGACCAAACAAGAAACACAATCGTCTTAAAGCGAAGACAAGCTAGAAATTTATACTATTATAAATTATGATAAATATTACATACGATTCTATATGTTTTATAAAGACTCACGTCTAACTGCAGTTCAAATGAAATTCACGCATGACTAGTATTCGTTGTGTTATGATACATATCTCTTGTAAACATTCTTTCTATTAATTTGCATAATTTTATTTTATCTAAGATTTGAAATTTAGAGTTAGTAACGTTAAAAAAATTGATGAACTAGTCAAATTACTGGACTAAGGATATTTCCATATGTCTGAGGCAAAAAATAAAATAAAATCAAGTTAAAAGAAGGTATGGTACTATATACTAGTGTCACATACCGGTTTTTGAAAACCGGACTGGTTTTATTTCCTTACAAGTTTTGTTGGGCTTGGCCCATCCACTTTTTTTTTGTTTTGTCTCTCCTGGGTTGTGCCGTTTCTAACACATTTATCACAAGAGAAGGAGCTGCCCCCTATTACTTTAAGCCACATCTAGTCATCACAAGAGATATGCCGGTGTTAACTAAGCCACCGTGCACCATCCTCGTTGCTTTGCCGTTGGAACCGAGAAGAGAGACTTGTGGTGAGAGGCGGACGACCCACTTCATCACCACCGTCCACCATTGACAACGGCTGTGTGTCGTCTGCCACCAGAGAGGAAGCCTGCATCGTAGGAAGCAAAAAAAAGCTAGTCCTAATCCTTTCTTTTCGTAAAAGTTAGTCTTCTCTATTATTTTCCACTATTTTTACGATATATCCCATTTCTGATATCTCGATTTGCGTCTAGATCTCCAATATACCCCATAATGTTTCCCGGGGTGACAATCTGTTCTCTTTTCCGCTCTTGTTTTATGGCCCCAAAGCATTCATAAATCATAACTCTAGTACACCTTTTATTATTTGGTCGCCGGATGCTGCAGAAGCGACTCCCCTGTGAACATGGCCTAATTAGCATAGTGTAGTCGGACTCGTGACTTGGGTACTTAAATAAAGCTATACTTTCTTTTTAAATGATCACACTTTTGTGGTTGTTGATAATGTATACACACACCTATTCTTGTTATAATTTTTCTTCACTTGTTTGGGCTTCACGCCTCTTTCTTGGCAGATTCTTATTAGTTACTTAATAGTTGCAAGACTCCATAAACATATTTCATTCGACATTTTAACAAACACTTTTAATATGTGGTCAATAGGTGGAGAGATGATTATTCTATATATGAATTAAACCTATAACTAATCATTACTCAACATGAGACTCACGTTTTCAAACCCATACTTAATAATACTCTTTTCATTTTCAGACAGGACTGGACCAAACCAGAAAAATAATTCTAAACATCCGAAGTAAAACGGGAGCTTTCCAAAATGTTGTCCGCGTTGTTCAGTGCAAAGTCTTCACGTCTATGGAACTCTTTAATCTGCAACCAAAGGTGGCAAAAATATTATGAATCCTTTTGTATTTTATTTATCTATAATAAACAAATTGAAACCCTACAAATATAAAAAAATTTAAGAAAATTTTGTTACGACCATGTGCACTACCTGATCATGAGGTAGATCTTTGAACTGTGGCAAAACAAGACGTTCGGTGAATTCAATGTATGAAGCAGGGACCGATTTGACTACACCGTCTGAAAATTCAACCGGAAGCTGCTCCGAGAGTGACGACACTTGTAGCAATAGCCCATCAGTACTCACTGAAATCAATCAACAATCCAGACATTGGTGGACAGAATAGATTTTGTTTATACACATATATGTAGATATCTAACCATTGAGAACTCCTCCGTCCTGGTTGAGACCAAATCCATTTTCCTCTAGATATTGTATGATGCAGTTGATGTCACTAAAACGGTGTTTAAGTCGATGAACAGCAAACGCTAGATGGTTCATTGTGTAGCCGTTGATAAAAGCCCATGCCGCCAATTCGTTTTCTCTTCAACGTGCACAATGGGTAATTATTTAATTGAAATCAATATGTAGCATCAGTTAATGATATATGATTTAGAGAGTGTATAGTGTATACTCGGCAATTTGCTTAAATTCGCTCCATGTTGGCTTCTCCCATATTAAGGACCCAAGAATACTAGACAGAAGGGCTTGCTTGCCTCCTGCTGGTTTTAGATACTTCCTTATTATCTCCTGATTTACCATTTAAAATTTTAGAAGTATAACCAACAAAGACTTTTGATAAAAATTAAAAAAAACCAACAAAGACTTAATGAATGACAATGATGTGACTTGATATTTTCGAATGATTATACCTTCCTTTTACTATGTCATATTATATTTTGATAGATTATACCTTTCGTTTAACTATAGTCTATAGATGGGTGTTCGGGTTTATGATTTCAAGTTTTGATTTATTAGGGTATCAATTAAACGTTACATGAAAACTAACATGCTATGAAAAAAGTCATTTTCCCATAGAAGTTAAATGAAGTACAAAATTTAAACTAAATTTTATCTTGACACTATTTCAGAGTAATACCAGATAATTTTGAACTCATGCAGTATTTTGGTCTTTCATAACTATGTGTTTGTGATCACTCATACCTGTGATCCAGGGCTTAGTTCGTCCACAATAATCTCACCCATAACAAGTCGGGGTAAGGGTCCATTGCTTAGGCCGTGGCCATTCTCAGGGATCTTAATATCCGGAGGAGAAAACCAGAGACCTCTCAGTTTCTTCTGTGGAAAATCAAGCCCACCTCCTATTTTATATCCATTATCCATGAAGAAACTTGACATGGAGTCGATTCCATAACCTTCAATCTATCCATACAAACTTGGTAAACGTAGTTCATTTGTATTATCATTTACAAGTGTTTTTTTTTTGAAAAAAAAACCCACTTAATTACAAGTGTTTGGCAAGAAGATTATAGTTATAGAGTCAGATTCACAGCTCGTAATTAATTTCTTCAGATTCACATTCAACAAATTTCCTCAAAACATTCAACTAATTACCTTTCCTTTTTTGGTCATTTTTTTTGGTCAAAATTACTTTTCCTTTTATTCCACGTTATACCAACTGCCAACATATAGGTTGATGATGATCTTCACTATGGTTATATACTTGTGCAACCCAAAAGGATTTATAAATTACTATTTTTTTGTTAAATATCTTAAAACCGTAACAGAATTCTGTGGTTCTATCATTTTTTGTAGTGAAAGCTCTAATCCATATAGCAATTGATTCTGAAAACTCTATAGCGAATACCTTAAGTGTCATGAAAGTGAAGTGGTCGTAGCAAATTTTCTCGTTGTCCACCGACTGAACCAGTTCCCATATCCTTTTTGTCGTTGGGTTCTTCTTCAAGTACGTCTGCAATATATTCTCGAACACATTCCGCAGAAATAATTCGCTTCCTCCCTGTTGCATCCAAACAATGTATTATATATTAGAGAGTATACAAATACTGCCTTTGTTTTGAAAATTTAGATGAATCAAGAACCTGAAAAGATGAAGTATGAGGCAAGTCGAGAGAATCCATGTGTGTGGGGGTGGGGGAGAGATCCTTGACTTTGTGAATGAGAAACACAGTTTTGCGTGATTGTTGTTATTTATAAACGCATTTCTATGCGAGGAAAAGGAGTCATGATGTCCATTACTAGGAGTGTTAATGTTTTAGTCGGCAAGGTGATATTATGCACGTCTTTCTTTCAATGAATAAAAAATGTCATTATAAAAATCATTCGACCAATCCTCCTTACCAGATTATGCACGTCTTTCTTTTACGAAATAATAAAAAAATTAAAAACGATACACGAGGTTCATATATAACTACTTTTTCCCTAGAATATTATTGATATTATCCTATTTATGTGCGCACTAATACTTTGTTAATAAATAATTAGACATAATGCACGAGATTTACTCTACCAATGCAAAATGAGCTCCACTTCTATGATTTCTGACGAGATAATATACTTTTCTTGAATAGGATGGATATAAAATTATAAAAAACCCTTCAACAAATTCTCCTCATCAGATTGTGCACTTCTTTTATTTATTTATTGACACAAATATTTAGACATGATACACGTGATTTCCCTTATCGACCTCATTAGTAGTTTTTCGGTTTGAACTCATTAGTATTATCACCCAGTTAGAAGTTTCTTATGGCCAAATCCACCTTAGCGAAACAGATTGGTGATCCAAATCGATCAAGGAACAACCAGTTAACCATTGATCTGGTTAACTGGATTCTTCAGAGAAGCGAATCCTTCGGATTCTTCAGTGTGCATGCAGCTCTTGTTCTCCCTCTAGACTTTTCTGTTTTCATCATTGATCTCAGATTCGTAAGACGCAGACGACTAATCGATGCTCGATACAAGCATGGGCTTAAAGTTTCAGTCTTCTTTTGTTATTGGGTTTCTATCCTACTGGGCTTAAAATTTAAAGTCGTCTCGTCCAAATTCTAGAGTCACAAAATTATTGTACTCTTGCTACTTTTAAATATTAATGCACCAGAGTTTAAACAAAAAAAAAACGACCAGTTAACCAATACAACTTCTTCCTTTTTAAAGTTAAATAAAAAATAATTCTTCCTCTTAGGTTTTAAATAACCATATACAGTGAAACCTCTATAAATTAATAATGTTGGGACTACACCAAAATTTTATTTTTTTATTAATTTAGAGAGATATTAATTTATAGATATACTAAGTGAACCAAAAGTTCAATTTGGGACTATAAAAATTATATTAATTTATAGAGATATTTAGTGTATATTAATTTATCGAGTATTAATTTATAGAGGTTCTACTGTACAGTAAAACCTCTATAAATTAATAATGTTGAAACTACACCAAAACTATAATTTTTTATTAATTTATAGAGATTATTAATATATCGATATACTAATTGAATCAAAAAATCAATTTGAGATTATAAAATTATATTATTTTATAGAGATTTTTAGTATATATTAATTTATAGGATATTAATTTAAAGAGGTTATACTATATATGTGACTGTATATATGAATCTTGCATATATGACTGTGAAAATGGCTTCTCATAAATGACTCTGAAAATGTCCAAATCTAGTGGGATATGATTGCATGATGCAAAATTGTTTCAACGTTGCTTGCTTGGATGCAAGAAATACATTGTAAATTAGTCCTAGCGTTTTCACGTGATAAGAATAAAGTTGGTCTTAGTCATTCAACAAATATCATTTTCATGGTGTTGTCACTATGTTATTAACAAAAGTGTTGAGTTCCCGAACTTCTAACATGTAGTCTCCAAGTGATATAGTTGTTAAACCCACAATGCAAGTGGTAGGTAGGGCTGGGATTTATTATTCGGGATCCGGATTCGATCCGAGATCCCCTCCGGATCCACTTCGAAAATATGATATCCGGGACGTTCGGATCCGAATTCGGATAGTAAAATCTCGGATCCGTGCAAACCAAATCCGGATATCACAATTTTTAGGTCCGGATAACTGGATCCGAATCTGTGTTTCTAAAATATATTAATTTTTAGTTTTATTAATAATTATATTTGATATATTAATATTTATACATAAAAATTAGTCTTATAATGTTATATCTTAATTTTCATAATATTATATATCATAAATATATTTATAAATTATGTAATTATATTTAATTTATATCTTATTTTTATATTTTTGTATTTTAAAATGCATTTTATTTATTTTTTTTATTATTTTTATGGATCTGAATCCGAAATATCCGCGGATATTACAATATTTAGACGAAAATCTGAAAGACACAAATCCAAATCCAGATACTAAAATTACGGATCTGACGAATCTGGATCCGGATCCGGATACTCTAAATTTAATAGATATCCGGATCCGTCCCACCCCTAATGGTAAGGGACTTAAATAAACATATGAAATTTTACAAGATATTTTGTGTGATTTGATGAATTAGTTTTTTTTTCCATTGAGGTGTTTACTAGTGAGCATACACAAGATTACAATATACCTGATACAGTTAAGATATTGAACAAAATAATAGATTATCATAAATTTACAAGATATTAGACGTTTGGACTAACAGTTTTGTGTTGAATGAAAAATTAATACACACACTAAATCACATTATTCATACAAACAAACTATTACAACTGAAAGCAAATTAAAACCCCAACATATATTACAACCATATTCATCAGCCATGCATGTGATCCATTTTACAAATTGGGCACTCATATTAATAATACCATCACAAGATGTATTATTACAATATTTAAAAGAACAACCAGAAGATCTAGTTAAAACACTTACACATTTAAACATATATTGCATACAAACACACACATGCACTAACTTGACACACTGAGCCGAACAAAACAACTTTGGTTCTAGAATTGTGTTGCAAAACGTGTGCTTTCCATTACGTGATTGGCACTATCGAGTTCAAATGCCTCACGCCTATGATATTCTTTGATCTGTGCATCACAATGGAAATTGAAAATTGCAAGATAATTAATAAATGCAGTTGATTGTTGGGTCAAAATAAATGAAATTGATGTGAATTGTCTTTTTCTTTTTGTTACCTCATCAACCGGCATGTCTTTGAACTCTGGAAGAACTAGACGTTGAGTGAATTCAATGTATGATGCCGGGATTATTTCAGTTACTCCATCAGCAAATTCAACCGCAAGCCTTTCTGAGATGGAGGAGACTTGTAACAGTAGACCATCTTGACTCACTAAGGGGAATAAAGTGAGAGAAGAAAATTTAAATACTAGAAAAGGGAAGGAAATTTGCAAAAATAAAAGGGTATCTCATTTTTTTTTGTCACAAAAAGGGTATATCATAATTTTGAAAATTTACTGGTGTGAGTGTGTATATGAATATGTTATATCATGAGGGAAATAAGTATAAGAAACCTTTGAGAATTCCTCCGTCACTGTTGAGTTTGAACCCATTTTCTTCAAGATACTCTTTGACACAATTGATGTCCTTGAATCGGTGTTTGAATCGATGAACCGCAAAAGCAAGATGGTTCATTGTATAGCCGTGGATAAGCGTCCATGCCGCAAATTCGCTTTCTCTTTATGTGCATATATACAATTCAAGATTAAAGTAGCTCTAAAGATCAAATGTATTAATTAGAGATATATGATTATTAACATTTACTTGGCAAGTTGCGTGAAGTCGGCCCATGTAGGCTTCTCCCAAATTAAAGATCCTAAAGTACTTGAAAGAACGGCTTGCTTACCACCTTGTGGTTTCAAATACTTCTTTACTATCCCCTGGTTAGCCATAAATTAGGAAAATGTGAAATTATGAAATCTTAAATGGTTCATAATAACAACAACGTTATGCTTGTGGTAACTAATACCTGTGATTCAAGGCTTAGTTCGTCCACAAGAACCTCAGCTATAACAAGCCGCGGCAAAGGACCATTTTCTAGACCGTGATTGTCATTAGGGACTTGCGCATCCGGTGGAGAAAACCAGAGAACTCGTAATTTCTTCTTTGGAAAATCAAGTCCGCCTCCAATTTTATATCCATAATCCATGAAGAAACTCGACAAGGAATCTATTCCATAACCATCTACCTAAAACACACACAAAATTACACACCTTAAATAAAAAGAAACTTTACTAATTAATTTCACCATTCTCGAAGAGTAGTATTCGTACCTTAAGTGTCCTGAAAGTAAAGTGGTCATAGCAGATCTTCTCATTGTCAACAGACTGAACCAGTTCCCATATCGTCTTCGCCGTCGGGTTCTTCCTCAGATACGTCTTCAGTATATTTTCAAACACATTCCTAAGAAATGTTTCGCTTCCTCCCTGTTACACCAAAATTTTATATTATGGTAATGATAATTTCCTAATCTTCATATCAAGTTATAAACCAAAGTTGAAAACAAACCTTGAATGATGAAGAGTGAGGCAAGTCGAGAGAACCCATGCGGAAAGATCCTTGAGCTATCTATGTCTGAGAAACAGCTTTGGTCTGAGTGCTGTTATATACTATCGTAGTAAATTTATAAGCTGACAAGATATCAGTTTATAAAATTATTACCATATCTCGAAACAGAAACAATATCTTACCTGAAAATGTGTGGATCCGATCAAGGATCAAGCTAAGGATCCAATGTTTCACAATGATTACTAGCAGACAAAAATGAAACTAAATTTTATTGAGCTAGTGGTAGTGGGTCAATTTAACGCGTTTCTAGATGATGATGGATTAAACAAATCACGAGAGTTTTAACGATCAAGTACCAATCATACTTGCCTTTTTTTAATCTGAGCTCTGTTTCTGTTAAAATACCACCGAATAATTTAAAATTAAGAAATCCAAAATATCTGTTTTTTTTTAATCGATATTATTAAAACACAATCATTGTTAACATTTGCCCTTTTAACACCATAGATTATTATTAAAAATGCCATCGTCCTTTCAAACAAATTATTTGCCCTCAATAATTCTAAATGTTAGAATGGTAATTAACCACTTTAACTAACAATGAAGTTTACACAGAAGAAATTCCTCATTAATGTTAGAATGGTAATTAACCACTCCCATATCGTCATAGCAGATCTTCTCATTGTCAACAAACAGAACCACAACTTGGTGTTCATAAAGGTATAATTGGGTCCGATTGGTAATGGCTGTAGCTTTAAAGTTTTTGCAGTAAAAAAAAATCTGTAGATTTTTTGCTGTGGCTTTAGTTTTATTGTTGTAGATTTTTTGGAAAGCACTATAGAATTGCTTTGGATATTTGGCTCTGCAGAGCACTTGTATAGCTGTAGATCATTTCAAGAGCTGTGGTTTCAAAAAAAAAATTAAAGCTTGATTGCTTTGAATTTAGTGCTGTAAAAATAAATATGACTGTGGACAGCACCTACAGCAATTACCAATCACCTCCAATATATAATATTTTGTCTTCGAATTTTATTTTGTTGGCTCTGTTTTTCATTTTAAATGTTTGTTTGATATGAATTGGTTGGTGATAAATATATTGGTTGGTTGGATTGAATTGAATGGTGATAATGGCTATTCGTCTGAGATAATGGTAGGTTTAGGTAATAAATAAATTTATGGTTTGGTAATAAATAGATTTGTAGTTGGATGGAATTGAATGGTGGTATATGTAGATATATGTTGTGACTCCCTCCTAAAGTGAGGATTCCTTTTTATGGGGTGAATCCGTTGTAAGAAGAGTGAATGTTTTTGTGTTTACATTTATGGCCTTAACATTCTTTCTTTTTTTTTGGTAAATGGCCTTAACGTTCTTATTTTTCAAATGGTTTTTGTCTAATTTATGACCAAATTTACACAATGGACAGAATCTGTATAATTGTGGATGGATATATGTAAACAACAGATGCAGAATCTTTTTCCTTCACTCAGAATCGCTCCCCAGTATGACGATTCAGTCACTCAAATTTATGATTTGCACATAGCATCCAAAATCAAAAGCATAATAAACATATTTCACCCAAAAGAGAAGACCACGCATGTATTCCACACACACTCGCACTAGGTCACTATGTAACCGTGGATAAGAGTCAAGTTAGATACAAAAGAATACAAAGGGAATAGCACATTAAAAAGAAATACAGGGATAAGCTCAAATCGGTTTAAGAGGCACCCAACCATGTCAGGCAGTTTTGTGCTCTTGCATCCAAAATATTTATACAAGTGTAGCATGCAAACATTTGAATGTGACACCCTGCCACAAGAAACAGAAACAGAATCAGTATTGAGTTACCAACCATGATTTTGATTTGATTTTCAGGCTAGTAATGCCTGCTAATAAATAAGATTTCATGTGGTTCACAGCTGGGAGGATGGACGATAAAAGACAAATGTACCTGCTTGTATTCCAGCGCGTCCAACTTCCCATCCTTCAAAAAAGGTTAAAAGTGCGAAAAATGATTAGGAGAAATACTAAAAGAAAGGAAATGCTGAAACGGAGGATTCTGATTCCTAATCTGATCTAAAAGACTAAATAATTGAAGGGGAATTATTTTCTGATCTGATCTCAGAGCCTACATAAGTGATGGCTGCAGTTGTTTTTAGATCACAATGGATGAAATAAAGCACATGCAACGAATGTGGAAGAGAAACAGCTAGTGATCTTCAGCTCATATATGCCTTAAACAGAATAAAACTCAGGACTCACCAGTCCAGTAATCAAATCATGCAATGCTCCCAACTCAATCTCAAGTGAGTTGATATCCTCACGAGCCAAGGCCTACCTGCTCAACTAGCCAGTAATAACCTTTGATTCAACGAATCAGGGAGAGTACACAGATCCTATTTAGTAGCCGAGGACAGTAAAGCTTAACGAAGATAGAAAAGCGAGTGAGAATACCTGCTCCGGGTTAGAGCAATTTTCTGGATAAGTCAGCTCCGACTGTTTACACCGTCGCTGGCTTGGCTTGGCTTGTCGAGCTTTTGTCTAAATCGAATTTAATTTAGGTATTTAGGTACTAATATGCATATACAAACATAAACTAGATCTGACATATGTCTAATGATATTTTTTAATAAAACAAAATTTTAAATGATATAACATGAGAGAAATTCTCATAAAATATATTAGTATCACTATTCATAAAATATTGAATAATAGTATGATCTTTTTTGTTTTATAAAGAATAGATTTAATATTATTCATTGGAAAAATATTTATATATATATATATATGTATATTCTATTATTCACTCTATGTTCTACAAAGTTAGCAATGCATGCATATTTTACTACTTGTTCGTAATTTATACTATGAATTCACAATCACCTAAACCTTGTTCGGTTCAATTATATCAGTAGACAATTTTCATTTCTAGGCTTCGTTTATACTAACTATATATATAATTAACAAAATCTAGACCATTGAATGGTAAAAATGAAAGGAAGTATATAGGCTAAATATACACATTATGGTTAAACCATACCATTTGAAATATAAAATCCATGAAAATATTTGGAATACTATGAGAATTTTGTATAAATTACTATCTCAAGCAAAAAATCTTTTGGCTTTCATACAGATTCGCCCCCCAGCACCTAGCCCTCATTAAAGCGATACACAATAAGGGCATATGATAATCATGTTCGCCAACGACGAGTTTTTAAAACAAACTATAAAACTTGTTCAACAGTCACACTTCATGGCCAGAATGGCACCAAGAGTCCCCCCAAACACTTCAGTGTTACATACAAAACCAACCAAACACTTAAGAAAATAAATGTGGTCTTTGAGTATTAACAATGAAGCGTTAAAGGGAACTCATGGGGACATTTGACTCTCTTTTTCTTGCTCTGTCCCTGATAAACAACACTAGCTGCATGCCTTATTTATATATCTCTGCAAAGGATCTCCAACTCTTCATGTTCGTTTTCCAATAAGGATTTTTATGATGGACCAGTAATCATATATTCGAATCATATATACAATTAAAGAACGTGTGAAATTTTGATTACGTGAAAGATGAATCGAGTCGAAATGTTGGGCCTCGTTATATAATTGACCGAATATTTTTATCTTGTCCCTCCATTTGCTTGAAATATTTTGAAACGACAGAAGTATTCTTGGCATGGACTCTTCCCCTGATATGTCATTTCTCCTTTTATTTATTGCCACCCTTCCTCAAATTAATTCCCTGAAAAATATTCTCCATTGAATGTGCACTGGCAATAATTTATAAATACTATCCATGCAAAATGAGACAAAACAATATAGAGCATGAGATTGTTACAATTTTAAGTATGAGATTGTTACAATTTCAAATTACAGTATGAAAATGAATATTGTGGTTATATAACATCAATTCAAAGGGTTCCATGTATATTAGAATATTGAAGTTATATAAAATAATACAAAATCTGATGTAACATTATTTGACATTTGCAGATAGAAACACAAAGCGAAATTAACAGTATAAATTCTGGTATAATGGCTATTGTGTCTCAAAACCAAAAAAAATCATTTTTGTAACACTGAGTACATCACCATATAATTTATATTTCTATTACAATTGATGATAAACTATTCCAATATATGTGATACTGGTGAATAACTCCACACACAATTTCACGACATAACTTTCCCTGTAACACTCAGATCGACAATATTTCTCCATGTATGACATATTTGATGAACATGCTCATTGAATGGTTTTAAGTGTATTACTCTGAAACTTCTAATAAGTTTGCATCGTATAATCTCCATAAATTGTACCTTTTGAAAAGAATCCAAATCTGATATTAAAGCCTTTAAATCGTTTCTTACACATAAAGAACCTCATTTGATAACGAAAATTTTTATTTGAATTTACAATGTAAAAACAATAATACATAAGGTGCTATATTTTATATTCTAAATATTAAATACATCATTTTGTCTTCTCATTAAAAGAACAGTTTCTATGATGTTGTATAATATAAAAAATGAAAACATCAAAGTTAAGATCATATAATTCAGTATTTATCAGTTAGTTTTAGTGTTTCAAAAAAAAAAAAAATATCAGTTAGTTTTAAAAATAAAAATCTGTGAACCTTTACAATTATCTTGAATATTTTATGCTCTTCAGTCATGCTTAGAGTCCAGTTAATCGTATCTGACATCATCTATTTGACTTTCGACTTTTCAGTGCGATATATATGGTACATATCAGGCGATGCGCTACATATGTAGCTTAGCTATAAACAATAATCGATCTTTGTTTTTCATCATTTTTTAAAAACCAGCGCAGTACATCATGGATTTGTTGTATGAATTGATATCAACATCTGTAAGCTTTTCTCAAAAATAATTATACAACAAATTAATTATTGAAGAGCATGCAGGAGAATGTAGTGAGGGCAAGCAAGATCAGTATGGGCACTATAAGCATATAATGTATGAACCAGAATCTCTACGTGTATGCATCCTTTCTATCTTGTGAAAAGCCGTAAAGACCTTTCTTCAAAATGCTTATTCGCTTTACTCTTCCCTTTGAACCCAATTTGCGTCTATATTCAAAATGCTTTTCTTGGCCATCATCTATTATTGTCTCCGTATTTCTTTCTCATAGAAGACTGCAATTTATCATATTAGCCTTCAACTATATATAGAAATGTAACTACTTCCATTTTCTAAACCTTAATTATATCTATCTCTTGTACTCATATTGCTACCCAATATATAC